CAGGCTCCAGCCCCAGTTTGGGGGAGGAGGGGTGGCCAAATGCAGAAAGCAGCTGATCAATGACTCTCTCTCATCATTGATGTATCTAGAGTCCTTCCTTTCTGAATGTTAGCTGCTCAGTTTCTTCATCTGTAAAATGGAGTTAACGGCATCGCCGGGCTCAGAGTGATGCGGAGCAAATGAGTCAACTTACCTGAGGGCCTTAGAATGGCTCCTGGCCATTCTATAAAATATGTTTTTATTTTATATTTAAAATAAAAATGTATTAAAAAAAAAAAAAGAAAAAGAAAAATTCATGCTTACTAACAGCCAGCTGGGATGTGCCTCCCTCCGGTGGCCCTCCAGGGTTCCTGCTCTCTCTCCTTTGGATTCTCACAGGCCCCTGAGCACACCGCGCCCAGGCCACGGCTCCAGTATCGCAGTAAGAATATCCTCCTAACCACAGCTGGCCTGCAGCTCTCTCTCATTCAGACCTCACCAGGGCCCCGAGATGTGGGCACTATTACTCTTATGTTACAGATGGAGCCATTGAGGCCCAGACAGGGGGAGTCCCTACATTGCCACTCAGACAGCTGTGCTCTGCCCTTCGCCCTCCACCTCCTTGGGGGACTTCTCAAAATCTTGAGATGAGCTCTCTGACAAGAACATGGCTGTGGCTGCGGCCGCCGGGCAGGCCCAGGGCGGCACCGGGCGAGACGCTGCAACTCACCATAGACCCGCTGCCACCAAATGAGCAGAGCCGTGAACCCGCAGAAGAAGAAGACACAGCCCACCACTGTCTTCCACTCGTTGGAGCGGCGATTCATCTCGGCGAAGGTCTCGTGGAACTGCAGCCGGTACACTGGGAGCAGGAGAGGGGTGAGGGGGCTCAGGGGCAGCCCCCCAAGGGCCCAGAGCCAGCTCTAGGTCTGGGGATCTCCAGCCTCCCCCTCCCTGCGGCAGACGCTGTCCATTCGGCAAGTTCTTATCAAGCATCTAGAGTACGGGTACGCAAAGCGGGGCCGGGAACTGGTAGCCCAGGGCACTTCTGGTGGCCATAACTTGGGGTCACACATCCCCCCTGCCCCTCAAGGTCAGATGCCTGCTCCCCCATCCACCTCACCTGCCTCTCCTGGCTCTGTCTCCTCATACCACTCAGTGATGCCAGAACCCTCCATGTTCCCTGCTCCCCTATCTTCCCCCATGCTGTTCCCGGTACCTACAGCACCCTCCTCCTCTCCATCCAGCGCCAGCGGGAATGTGCCTTCCTCTGGACTCCATCCCCCTCTCCATTCCCCTCTCCCTCTCCCTTCCCCTCTCCCTCTCCCTCTCCCTCTCTCTCTCTCTCAGGAGCTCACAAACACTTGACCACACCTCACTTAGCCACGCACCCTGCATTACAGCTATCGGGGTTGGTGTCAGTTCCCCCACTGGACGGGGAGCACTCTGATGGCGGGAACCAGCTGGGTGATTCACTCCTGTGTCCCCAGCATCCTCTGGCACCAGGCTATGCACAGTAATGGAGTGAATATAAAGAATGAACAGATGAATGAAATTCTCCCCTGGGTGTGCATTTCTGGCTGCTGTGGGTGGGGGCTCCCTGATGGGCCCTTCTCTGCAAAGCCCCTGCCAGCCCGCTCTCCCCAGCCAGCCCCAGCCCAGACCTACAGGCCACCTTCTCGGCGTGGCTCAGCTGGGTCCAGCTGCCCTTCTCCTTCTCCTTCAGGGCCCGCTGCTCGGCGGTGAGCTCTGTGCAGAAGGGCTCGTCCGGCATGGGGTAGGAGCGCTGGGCGTGGTAATTGGTGTAGGGGGCCGTCTTCCCCTTGCTTTGGGCTGTGGGTACAAGGAAGGAGCTGAGTTCAGGCTGCCCCTGGGACATGCCAGCACTAACCGTAATATGAAGAGAGAGGGTTGGCCCTAACCGGCTTGGCTCAGTGGATAGAGTGTCTGTCTGTGGACTGAAAGGTCCCAGGTTCGATTCCGGTCAAGGGCATGCACCTTGGTTGCAGACACAGCCCCAGTAGGGGTGTGCAGGAGGCAGCTGATCGGTGTTTCTCTCTCATCGATGTTTCTAACTCTCTATCTCTCTCCCTTCCTCTCTGTAAAAAATCAATGATATATATTTTTAAAAGAAGAGTTGCATTTATTGAGCACTTCCTGTGTGCCAGGAGCCATGCTAAGGCCTTCAGGTAAGTTGACTCATTCATTCCACATCACTCTGAGCTAGGTGATGCTGTTAACTCCATTTTACAGATGAAGAAACTGCAGCTAAAAATTCACAGAACCAGCCAGAACTGGTTTGGCTCAGTGGAAAGTCCCGGGTTCGATTCCAGTCAAGGGCATGTATCTTGGTTGCGGGCACGTCCCCGGTGGGGGCTGTGCAGGAGGCAGCTGATTGATGTTCCTCTCTCATCGATGTTTCTGGTTCTCTATCCCTCTCCCTTCCTCTCTGTAAAAAATCAGTAAAATATATGTAAAAAAAATAAAAATAAAAAAGAGCCACTGCTCTCGGTTCAGGAATAAAAAATAAATAAAATAAAATTCACAGAACCAGAAGGACCAGGGCCAGGGCTGCAATTCAGCCCCCTTCTCCCCCCGGCTTCCAATCCTGAGTTCTCTGGTAGGACGAGGCAAAGAAGGCAAGTCAGGCAGAGGCAATGGTGAGCAAAGGCTCATGAGGTGAACCTGAGCTGACAGGTGCAAAAGTGCTCTGCAAACAGTAAAACAATATCCGTATGCCTTTACTTACTTAGTCATCAATTTTTATTGATTTCAGAGGGGAAGGGAGAGAGAGGTAGAAACATCAGTGATGAGAGGGAATCATTGATCAGCTGCCTCCTGCAGGCCCCCTCCTGGGGATGGAACCTGCAACCCGGGCATGCGCGCCTGACTGGAATCAAACCCGGGACCCTTCCGTCCTCAGACCGACACAGTTTGCTATCTGAGAAACGGAGATAACAGCACTCCTCCACCTCACGTGTTTGTTGGGAAGTCTAGATGTGTTAATCTGTATAAAGTATTTATCACAGCTAGGGCTACATGGTCAGGGCTCGATGAATGTTACTTCTTTATAAATAAGTAAACCAGAAAGACCCTCTGCTAGCTGGCTGCAGTCTCTCCAGCTGTAGGCATCTCCGGACTGGCACTGACACCTGGTCTGCCAAGGAGGCCCCGGTTCTGTCAGCACCTCCACCTCAGCACACAGAGGCCTCAAGTGGAGGGGGCAGGCCCTGAGGAAGCGTGGGATGTGGGAGCTCCATTTCCTGGACCCGGGAATGGGGCTGTGGGAAACGGTTCTGGGCAGGCCCAGCATGGAAGGGACAGAGCAGCCTGCGGACAGCACTCCCGCCCCTGGCTGTGGAGTTAGGCAGGGGAGGAGGGCGTCCGGGTCTTACCAGCGTCTCCCGCGTTGTGTGTCCCTCGAGTCCCAAGTCCTCGCTTCTTCAGCACCAACCTCCGGGCAGCTCTGAAGAACATCTGGGGGTGCATGTGAATGAGCCCACACATTGCCCTCTGACCCTACCCCTTAGGGCCCAGACAGAGAAACCATTTCCACAGCTGTGTGTGGCGGGGGTGTGGGGTGGGGAGCTTCTAAGACTTCAGCATCTCCCTCAGGTCCCCCGACCTTCTCATTTTGTCTGGTATCCCCATGGGGGTAAATTGGGGTCCAAGACATTTGGAGCTTCTGCCCCCGGGACCTCAATTCCCCATCTGAGAAGTGGGAGGAGGCTTAATTTAAAAAAATATATATATCTTATTGATACTTTACAGAGAGAAAGAGAGAGGGAGAGAGAGTTAGAAACATTGATGAGAGAGAAACACCAATCAGCTGCCTCTTGCACATCCCCCACTGGGGATGTGCCCGCAACCAAGGTACATGCCCTTGACCAGAATCGAACCTGGGGCCTTTCAGTCCACAGGCCGACGCTCTATCCACTGAGCCAAACCGGTTTCGGCGGGAGGAGGCTTAATTTTTAAGGCAGGGTCTGAATAGTTTGGGGCTGGGGGCCTACCTCCCGCCCCAGCTCAGCCTGGCAGCTTGGGAAACCATCCTGGGTTGTTTGCTCCCCAGAAGAGACGGGTGGGAGGAAGCAGGTCTGGGGCTCCCTCTCCTCCCTCAGGCCATCTGCCACCATCTCTGCCAGACAGCCTGCCCCCCCCCCCCCAATGGGCTGCCTACGTGCAGCAGAGCCTGCTCTGCTGGATCCAGTGGAGGAGGGGGGCAGGATGAGCCCAAACCCCCATGGGGTGGGGAGTCTCGGGGACAGACATCCCGTGGGGGGAGGGGGGGACTCTAGAGCAGGACAAGGACCAAAATGGGCCAGAGAGAGGAGAAGGAGCTCACATCTGGAGAGGGTTGCGGGCATTCATTTCTGGAAAGAGGAAGAGCCCCCCCACATCTGGGGAGGGGGCACCCAGTAATTATGAAGGAGTATACCGTGTGTGGTAAGTGGGAGAGGGCCCCCCATTTGGGAAGGAAGGGCTCCCCATCCGAGTCGAGTGGGTGGGAGAGCCCCACCGATGGAGAAAGGGAAGGAGCAATCTGCATTTGGGGAAAGACATGGCACCCTGTATGCCAACAAAGCATAATTCCCCAGGAACCCCCTCCCCTCTTCCATGGCAGGGACCTCACGGAGGAGTCCAAGTCCCATCCCCCACTCTCCCCAAGCCAGGCCCACCCCCCCACCCCCACCCCCAGTCACTTACCTCCCTCTCTGCTGCAGGAGCGACCCAGGTCTGCTGAGCGAGAAACGGAGAATGAGCTGCAGAGGGACTGGAGCTCAGACGCCCTCCCCTGGGCCCGCCCCAAGCCTTTCCCAAGGCCGCCCGCCCCTGCCCCCGCGTGGGAACGTCCTGCCCCAGGGGGGCGTGGGAGCGCCCAGCTCACCTCCCAGAGGGCTCCGGAGCCTCGCGGGGAGAGCGACTGCAGAGTGTCTGGCCGCCTACGCCTACCGGAGTCCTGCCTCTGGATCCCAAGCTGACTGCACCCCGGGGACCGCTGGCGGTGTGTCCTGGCTGACCCGGCCTCCAGCGGGGTAGTTCCAAGAGCTGGATCCTCCTGCCTCCGCACCTTTGTTCATGGCTGTTCCTTCCACCCCGATGCTCTCCGAGGGCCTTTGCAGACCCACGTCAAACGCCAGCTTTCCAACCCGGACCCAATGCCTCCTGTCCAGGAAGCCCACTTTTCTAGGATCTGGAAGCTGGCCTGCGGTGTCCTGTTTCACTCCCACACCCCCATCCCCAAAGAGAGGTGAAAAAGCCTCCCTGTGGGGTTCACGTCATAGCTGCGGCCTTCAACATGCGGCCCGGCCTCTCCGAGCGCCTGTTTTCTTTCCTAAAAAAAGATTTAATGATAGTTTCTACCTCACGTGGCTGTTGTAAAGATTAAGTCAATAGAAAAGCATCAAATGCATTTATTCAAGAGCTAGAGGTCCAGGACATGGAATTTGTGCACTGGGAGGGGGTCCCTCAGCCCCGCCTGTGTCCTCTCCCAGTCCAGGACCCTCGCTCCTTACCACCCGCCTGCTCCTAATGCTTGTCTCGCTGCTCCTCAGCACTGCTGCGGAGGCGGGAGGGGCTCCCACCACCAGCACTGCACTCACCAGCCGTGAGCCCAGCTTCTGGCTGAGCGGTGCTCCCGCTGTGGGAGCACACTGACCACCAGGGGTAGCTCCTGCATTGAGCATCTGCCCCCTGGTGGTCAAAGCACATCATAGCAACCGGTCGTTCTGGTCCTTCTGTAAGGACCACTTAGGCTTTTATTATACAGATTATTTATTAAAACCTACTACAGCTGGCATTTATTATCTACTGTCTACCAGTTTAAGAGAGAGAGCCAAACAAAACCAAACACAGTGTCTATCCTTATAGGGTTTACAATCCAGTTCCAAGCAGAGAAAGAGGCCCAAGAGCAGAAAAACACAGGTGTGTTCAAAGGGCAGAGAAAGGCGATCTTGGCCAGCATGCAGTGAGCAAAGGGGAGAGTTGGAATGGGGTTGGACCACAAAGCAGAGCCTCAGAGACCATGGTATGGATCTTAGATTTTATTTTATAAAGAACAATGGTCATCCTAGCTGGTTTGGCTCAGTGGATAGAGCATCAGCCGGCAGACTGAAGGGTTTCAGGTTTGATTCCAGCCAAGGGTACATGCCCAGCTTTCCGGCTCGATCCTCAGTAGGGGGCGTGCAAGAGGCAGCCAATCCAGTAGATGATTCTCTCTTATTATTGGTGTGTCTGTCTCTTTCCCTCTCCCTTTCTCTCTGAAATCAATAAAAATGTATTTTAAAAGAAGGAGGAGGAGGAGGAGGAGGAGGAGGGGGAGGAGAAGGAAGAGGAAGGTCACCAAAGGTAAGTACGGGAGTGATATGGTTAAATGGAACAGAGCATGAGTTAAATAAATGTGTCCTGGGTTGTTAGAATACTGATGGTGGACTAGAGCTGTGGGTCACTGCTGAGACCTGGGACCAGAGTTCTAGGTCTCCCAGCTCTGGGCCCAGGAGGTGTGCCCAGTGCTCACCCATCCACCAGGGTTTCTGAAGCCCAGGGAGGCCCTAAGGACACACTCCAGCCAGTGTTTCCTTAGTCCCCAGGGGGCCAGCTCCGCCTACAAGAGCAGGTGACAGAGAAACCCTAGAGTGGGCCGGATGGAGGAATCTCCGATCTGGACTTTAGCAGTAACAGACGCCGAGCTGTCCGAGGGCAGCGTGGGGATTTCCTGAACCTCCAAAAGACGCCCCAGCTCCCAGGACCAGCCTTCCTCACTCCTGGGAGCTGCTCCTCGCCTTCTGCAGGACTAAGGGAATTACAGATTGAGAGACACCCAAGAAGACCAGCCACCTTGCCTCCTGGATGCTGACCTGTGTCCTGAGGAAGGCAGGGAAGACCCTCCTTCAGGCAGCCTGGGGAGAGCTCGCCTTGAGATGAAGTTTTCCAAGGACAGGTGGTGCTGCTGGCACTGGAGTGAGTGGCTCTGCCGCTGCCTGGCTGTGCTAGTGGCCAAATGGACCCCGGTTTCCCCATCCCTCAGAGGGCTCCCAAGGGAAGGCATCTGGGGATGGAGACCCTCTGTTCCGCCCCGCCCTCTCCCACCCTCACCTCTGTGGGAACTTCCAGCGGCTGTCCAGACTGAAGATGTGTGGCGACGCTGTGATAAGGGACATCCGTTGGGGACGCTGGCCCTAGAGCTGAGGGAGATGGGATGGAGGTGGGCTGGATGGCTCAAGGTTGATATAGGGTAGAACAACCGCCTGTGAGGCAAAGGGGGCCGTTTCTGGAGGCCCCGAACCTGGGAATTGTCAGTCTCCTAGAGGGCAGGTCTCTCAGGACTTGTGGGGCCAGGAACAGGACTCTTTCCCCGAAATCTTGGGCACAGAGGGGAGGGAGCTTTGATTGGGGCATCACCGCTAAGGCGGGGATTGTGTGAATGGGAATGCGGGCTGACATTGCGGAAAAAGAAGGGAGGGCGTTAGAGGAACCTGCCCCTCTCCCACTGGCCCTGCGGTGTGACCCTGCAGCTCTGACTCACTTGATCAGACCCCAGATTCTGCCCATGAAGACCTTGGCCAGGGCCTCAGCATCCAGCTGGTAGGACCCGCTCCCCAACCCTCTCCATTCAGCTCCGTCTCCCAGAGGGGATACTGAGGAAGACCTAGACCTTACGCAGGGCCCGAATGAAGAGGTGATGGATGAACAGAGTGGCGGACCTTTATCCTCAGCCACTCTGGGACCCCGAGACCGGGTGAATGTGGGACCTCCAGTCTGAGCGGGTGGTGAGGGACGGGGCCAGGGAGGAAGGGCTGTCAATCTCGGACAGAGGGGGGCTGTCAATCTGGGACAGAGGGGCGGGGAAAGGTAGGACTGGGCGGGACTTCTCCTTGGGGCGGGGCTGCAGTGAAGGGGTGTGGCCAGGGTACGGTCGGGACACCCGGCACAAAAGGGGCGGGGCCAGCCGGGCAGGGGCGGGGGCGGGGGAAGGAGGCGGGGCCAGCGGGGCGGGGGCGGGACTGGGAACAGGAGGCGGGGCCTGCGGGGCGGGGCGGGGCGGGGCTGGGAACGGGAGGAGGGGCCAGGCTCGGGCCTGGCGCCCACCCTCTCACCGGCTGGGACTCCGCTGACGCGGGTTTGGCCGGAGCCCTGAAGCCTGCGGGGCACGAGGGCGGGGCAGCAGCCGGGCTCAGAGGACTTCGAGCAAAGGTCCGTAGCTTCGGGGCCAGTTCAGAAAGCGCTTCTGCAACTGTGGACAGGCGGGCGGGCCAGCACCAAACGCCGGACCGGAAATCGCTGAATCTCCGATGGCGGGCTCCCCGCCCTGGGAATGGCCCGGTGGCTGGGTCAGGGCCAGGTGGACGCCTTGGGCTAACGACCGCAGGGCCCGGATGGACCCGGGGCCCGGGAGGTAGAACCCTCCTTCGGGCAGGTCTGATCTCTCTGCACCGGTCCGGCCCCAGGACAGATGCCCTCGGAGGAGGCAGGCTGCGGTGGCAGCCCGCACAACGGCGACCGCCCCTCACCCGGGCACGACATGCGCGAAGCTCGCTGCTCAGCCCTAAGAGGAGTCCCTCGCAGAGCTGCCCGGACTTTGTCTCGACCCAGCCCTCGGCTGTCATTCAGGGCTCCTTAGTCCCGCCCCCAGGGCGCCCCTGGGCCCACCCACAGAGGCCTTTGTTCTAGATCCTGACCCCTGCCGGGTCCCCGGATCCTCCTTCCTTTCCCAGCCCCGAGGTGCCAGCCGTCCTCCCACCGCTCAGACAGTCCCCGTGCCCCTTCCCCTTCCCGCGGGGCTCCAGCTAGCGGTCCGGCCCCTCAGCCATCCCGGCCCCGCCCGACTGGGGCCTCGCCCTTCCCTGCAGGCTCCTCATCCGCTGCTCGGCCTGGCCTGCCCCTGACCCTGTCAGTCCATTGGGCCGTGTTCACAGCCCTGCTAGGCCTCCCCTCTGGTCCCGCCCCGTCTGTCCCCGCTCCAGCCATCACTGGGGTCCAGGCGGGGCTGCAGCTCCCAGGTCCCACCTGTCAGTCACTCAGTCCCCCTGGGCGGCTCTGACCCCTGAGGGCTTGGAGCTGCCCAGCGGGTATCGGGTATCGAACTCTCAGCGAGTGGGGAGAAGGGCTGTGAGAGTGAGTGATGCCGAAGCTGGGCCTTGGGAGGCCCGTCTGGGATTCCATCCCTAGCTCTGTCCTCCTCGGTTTCAGTCACTGGCCGTGGCTTCCCTGTCTCTGTTGTGCCAGGCCCATGCTCTGCCCCCTTCTGCAGCACCAGCACCAGGGAACAGCCCGACTGGGCCAAGGGCTGAAGCGGTGGGATCCCGGGAGGGGTGTGGGGGGATGTGTGTGTGTGTGTGTGTGTGTGTGTGTGTGTGTGTGCAGGGGGTCAGATCAGTTCCAGGGCAGGCACTGGCCCTTTCAGATGCCGCTGTAGGGCCAGCCTGGCATGGTCTGCTTCGGGTCTTCCAGGACTTTCTGTACCACAGACCAAACCAGGAGTGGGCAGGGAGGCGTGAGGGACCCAGGCCTTCTCTGCTCTAGGACAGCTGGCGCATGAACCCGGGACTGCATCCCACTGATGTGGCCCAGGAAACTTACCATAACTGTGGCCTCCACAGTACCCCAATCCCACATGCTCTCTTACAATGTGCCCTTGACATTCCTGCAACCCCACTCCTTTTTTTAAAAAAATATTTTTTATTGATATCTGAGAGGAAAGGAATGAGAGAGATAGAAAGAAACATCAAGATGAGAGAGTATCATTGATCAGCTACCTCCTGCATGCCCCCTACTGGGATCTAGCCCGCAACCTGAGCATGTGCCCTTGACCGGAATCGAACGTGGGAGCCATCAGTCTACAGGCTGACGCTCTCTCCGCTGAGCCAAACCAGCTAGGGCTGTGACCCTTCTCCTTGAACCTTCGCCGGGGAGAAAATAAATCTAGACTGATTAGGACATGCTGAAAGGGATGCTATGTGACCTCCAAAGCCAGATCATGCTACATACTCTCTGGGGACATTCTTAGAACCATGCGAGAGGAAGCCAAATTAGCCCTCGTGGAGAGAACATCCAGAGAGGCCATCCGGACATATTTTGTCTGGCTACTAGCCCAGCTGAGGTACCAGCTCAACTCGGAGACATGTACCTCTCCAGGTGATCCCAGGACCAGCCACTCAAGTCCCCCTCAGCACCAAGTCTTCCCAGCCGAGGACCGACACTGGAGCAGAGACCAGTCATCCCTGCTGTGCCCTTTCTGAATTCCAGACGCACAGATTCCTCAGCATCAGGTAGCTGTTTTTATTTATTTCAGAAAGAGGAAGGGAGGGGAAGAGAGAGAAACATTGATGAGAGAGAAACATCAACATTGATTGACTGCCTCAGACCCCACCATTGTCCTTTAAATTTCAGCTCAGCCAGGGTGGGTAGCTCAGTTGGTTAGAACATCATCCTGATGTGCCAAGGTTGCAGGTTCAATCCCCAGTCAGGGCACATATAAGAATCAGCTCAGGAATGCCTAAGTAAGTGGAACAACAAATCAATGTTTCTCTTTCTCCCTTCCTGTCTGTAAAATCAACAAACAAATAGACTCCACACACATTTCAGCTCAGATATGATCTCCTCAGAGAGACTTTACCGACCCCTACGGAAAGTGCTTTCCCTAATCAGTCTAGATGGAGTTTCTTCTCAGCACTTTTCATTTTCCCAAATTACACACATGGGCATGCACAGCCTTCTCCTTCTCCTCCTCCTTCTCCTCCTCCCCCTCCTCCTCCTTTTCCTCCTCCCCCTCCCCCTCCTCCTCCTCTTCCTCCTTCTCCTTCTTCTTTTTTTTTAAATATATTTATTGACTTTTTACAGAGAGAAAGAGAGAGGGATAGAGAGCCAGAAACATCGATGAGAGAGAGACATCCATCAGCGATCAGCTGCCTCCTGCACACCCCCCACTGGGGACGTGCCCGCAGCCAAGGCACTTACCCCTGACCAGAATTGAACCTGGGACCTTTCAGTCCACAGGCTGATGCTCTATCCACTGAGCCAAAAACGGTTTCGGCCATGCACAGTCTTCTTGGCCTGAATGCTCTACATTTCAAGACTGGTCACTCTGATTCCCTTCACTTCCAGGCTGGCATGAAGTGGGGTCTGGCTGTGCCATGGACTGAATGTCCGTGTCCCCTCAAAATGGGTATGTTGAACGTCATCTCCTCATGATGGTCTTAGGAGTTGGGGCCTTTGGAAGGGGCTTAGGCCATGAGTGCGGAGCCCTCACGAATGGGATGAGGGCCCTTGTAAAAGAGACCTCATCCCCCCTGCCATGCGAGGTTCCAATGAGAAGATGGCTGTCTACGAACCAGGAAGATATGGAATCTTCCGGCACCTTGATTTTGAACTTCCAGATGCTAGAACTTCAAAAAACAAAACAAAAAAACACAGCTGACTTTTATATATTGACCTTCTATTCTAAGACCCTGCTAAGTTCATTTATTAGTTTGTGAGGGCTGTTGGGAGCGAGTGCCACGGCCTGGAAGTTAGAAGTCCAAAGTCAAGGGGTCTCCAGGGCTGGTTCCTTTCGGGGCTGCGAGGAGAGGACTATCCCAGGCTTCTCTCCTCGGCTTATAAGTGGCTGCCTTCTCCCTATGTCTCTTAGCACTGTCTCCCCTCTGTGATTGTTTGTGCCAAAGTTTTCCCCCTTTTATAAGGAAACCAGTCATGCTGATGTTTTCAATGAATGAGCTCTTTGTTTCATTGTTTTTCTGTGTCCATATCATTGATCTCTGCTCTTTATTTCATTCTACTTGGTTTGGGCTTAATTTGTTTTTGCCCTTTGCTTGTTTCTGAAGATAGAAGCTTATATTATTTATTTGAAACATTTCTTCTTTTCCAATAAGCATTTAATTGTATAAATGCACTCTTAGCTCTGTTTAAGCTGCATCTCACCATTTTGACGTGTTGTATTTTCATTTTAATTCTGTTCAAAATGTTTTCTAATTTCTCTTGAGACTTCTTCTTTGACCCATGGGTTATTTAGAAGTGTTGTTTAGTTTCCAAATATTTGGGTTTTTTCCAGATCTCTTTCAGTTCTTGATTTCTAATCCCACTATGATAAAAAAACAAAACAAAACCATACTTTATATAGTTTAAATTTTCAACATTTGTTCATGAGTTGGTGAATGTTCCATGTGCACTTGAAAAGAGTGTGTTCTGTGCTGCTGTTAGAGTTTTCTAAAAATTTCTAAAGATCTGATCTATGTTTCTCTCTAATTGATGTTTCTAATTCTCTATCCCTCTCGCTTCCTCTCTGTGAAAAATCAATAAAATATATTAAAAAAAAGAAAGAATTTTCCAAAGCCCTGAACAGTTTGGCCCAGTGGATAGATAGAGCTTCGGCCTTCGTACTCAAGGGTCCCAGTTTCAATTCAGGTCAAGGGCATGTACCTTGGTTGCGGGCACATCCCCAGTGGGGAGTGTGCAGGAGGCAGCTGATCGATGTTTCTCTCTCATCGATGTTTCTGACTCTCTATCTCTCTCCCTTCTTCTCTGTAAAAAATCAATAAAATTTATTTTTTTAAAAATCAAAAAAACAATTTGCCCAAGATCTTCTCCTCTTATGGAAGAGGTAATGAGTTTTCAGAGGGGGCTGTCACACCGTAAGGAAGAGAGTGGGGGAAAGAGCAGTTAAGGCTGAGGGTGGATGTTTCTGAATTCGTCGCCTGCTGTGTACATGTACACAAACATTCATATATCAGACCGAAAATATTCTTCCAATGTGCGCTTAGATGTGAGTGCAGTTCCCAAATATTCCGCTAGAGCCCGCTAAGGCACCAGTTTTCGTTCCTACGGGAACCGGGCCTCATTTCTCACCTGCGCTAGCGCACTTCCAGATCTCCCCAGGAGGGGGCGCCAGTGGCCGAAGGAAGACCAGAGTGGGCGTGGTGCCTACATTTGCTAGGGCACTCAGGAACCAGGCGGCCGCGCACTGGTCCACCCAGTTCTCCCTGACCCTCAAAGATGGGGTTCTCAAGCCAAGAGGCACAGCGGCCGGCGTAGACGTGACTCTGCAGCGCCTCCTGCAGCTTTGCCTTCAAGCTTGGGTCTTGCTGTGCCTCCTCTGCATATAAAGTAAAGCATCTAGGTTTTTGGAGCCTACATATATGTAGGCACAGCATTTTGCAAATTTTACATGAACACACGCCAATAAACCATAACATTGCTGGGGCTCTTTCCAGATGAGAGGATCTGAAGTTTAAGCTTCAGTAACTTCAGGGAAATCCTCCTCTGATCATACACATGCATATTTATTTGCTGTCTGTCTTCTGCTAGAATGTAAGTTCCAAGAAGGCAAGATTTTTATCTAAACAGTTAGTTCCCGCAGTCTCCTTGGTTCCCAAGCTAGGAGGCTTTGTAACTGTTTGTTGAAGGAACCAGTTGAAGCTGGTACAGTTTTCCAGGCAGATAAGACAATGGCCTGGCCTGGGGCTTGATGAGTGGATGGCGTCAGAATGATGTCACAGGAACCTCAAAGCAGAGACTGTAACACCCATTTAAAAAAAAAAAAAATATATATATATATATATATATATATATATATATATATATATATATTATTGATTTTTCACAGAGAGGAAGGGAGAGGGATAGAAGAGCTAGAGAGCTAGAAACATCGAAGAGAGAGAAACATCGACCAGCTGCCTCCTGCACACCCCCCTACCAGGGATGTGACCGCAACCAACGTACATGGCCTTGACCGGAATTGAACCTGGGACCCACCCGGTCCGCAGAACCGACACTCAATCCACTGAGCCAAACCAGTTTCGGCTGTAACACCCATTTTAAGGCTGAGAATGCAGAGAGCCAGGGCAGTGCAACATGTGACCAATCGAAGTGACACAGCGCCTAGAACCTACATCTGCCATCCTTTGCCCCCTCTTGGCCCCAGCCACCACCCTCCCACCACCCATCCCCCTGTCCCTGTCCCCGGCCACCCCTTGCACAAGGCCCTGATGCAACCCTCTACCGGCCCTGGGTGCCCCTCTGTGAGCAGCTCCGGGAAGAGGGTTTTGCAAGAGCTGGGCAGGAAGGGCGGCCAGGGCGGTCCTGGGAAGATAAGGGCGCCCCGCCTCTGCGCGCCTCCAGGCCTTCTGGTTTCCGCTCTTCCCTTCCTTTCCCTTTCCGGGAAAGGGGCGCCCAGACCTGGCCTGCCGGTGACTCACCCCCTTTCCCTCTGGCAGCCAGGCCGGGATCCCAGGCCCTCCTGTCGCTGGACAGGCTCGCTGTGTGTGACCCTGGGCAGCGAGACCTTGCTCGCCGGCAGTTTCTGGAACTCTGTAAGAATAGCTGGCATGAAGACAGGTTCCACCTCTGAGCCTTTGTCTCAGGAGGCAAAGTGGGGTTGGGGGGGGGGGGCTTTGGAGTACCTCCCCCCACCCCCTCTTAAGCCAATTTTGAGGTCTGGGTGACTCAGATTGGCAAGTGTAAGGTTGAGGGGGGTAGGCACCCAGAGGTCAGGGCCTGGTGGTCTCTCAGCCTCTAGGGCAAAAGCAGGCATGCCCACAGTTTGGTTGGTCTCCGCCTGGCTTAAGGCCTGTGCCAGCTGTGTGACCTGTCCTCCAGAACCAGGTCACGAGGACCTGTCCCAGGATTTCTCAGAGATTGAGAGCCTGGGCCACTTCCATCCTTTAAGGCTCCGGTAAGCTTTTGGAGACTGAGAAATGCCAAACCAAATGGTGGATTGCAAAAGTTGTGATGATATGTATTGTGTCTTGGCTTTCCCAGTTGATGCATTAAAAAAAAAAGTAAATTTCCCAATTGAAATCATACACACCAGGTATGATTTCACTTGGGAAATAAGATGAAAGAGGCTACATTGGATGTCCCGAGGGAACAGGAAGCCTCTCGTAGGCCTGATTTCTGGGAAAGTCCTCCCCGTCAGTGAGGGCCCCACCATGGCCTTGGGTGGGTCACTGTCCCTCTCCGATGTCTCCCTGTTTTCATCCGGAAGTAGGACCAGCAATGGGCCCACACGCCTGACAGGGCCGATACGACAAAACCCCCTTAGAAAAGACTCAACCCACTTTACACCAGCATCCACTAAGGCCCACCCCAGCGCTGGACTGACACTCAGCGGCTCAGCGGGCCCTGGAGGCTGCGGTCTGAGCCCATTCTCCAGGTGAGCTAACCGAGGCTCGTCCCGGTGAGTGAGGAGCGTTCGGGGCCCGGCCTCGCTGCTGAAATACTAGCCTCTTATGATTGCTGCTGCTGCTGTGATTATTAAAATGAGTACATGATAACGCTGCCCCCATACAGCGGTGAGGGTTAAATAAGTCAAGTTTTAAAAGGAGCTTAGTAGTCCTAGCTGGTTTGGCTCCAGGTATAAAGCATCAGCAGCAGACAGAAGGGTCCCGGGTTCGATGCCAGTCAAGAGCAGATGCCAGGTTCGGGGCTCCATCCCCAGGAGGGGGCCTGCCGGGGGGCCGCAGTGATTCTCTCTCATCACTGATATGTGTGTGTGTGTGTGTGTCCCTCCCCCTTCCTCTCTGAAATCAATACAAATATGTATTTTGTAAAAAGAGCTTAGGATAGTACCTGGCACACCCTAAGTGCTCTGTGCTTGTTAAAACAACAACAAAAAAGAAAAAACTTCAGGCCCACTGCCCTAGAGAGGCGCAGTCCAAGGTCCAAGGAACCTTGGTGTTCCACCCCATCAGGAGGGATTAAGGAGTTAATGATTTCCCAAGCAGGGGCTGAAAGAAAGGAGTCTCTCCTCTCTCTCTCTCTCTCTCTCTCTCTCTCTCTCTCTCTCACACACACACACACACACACACACACACACACACAGTCTCTCTCTCTCACACACACACACACACACACACACACACTCACACACACACACACTCACACACACAGTCACACACACACACACACACACACACACACACACACACACACACACACACACACACACACACACACACACACACACACACACACACACACACACACACACACACACACACACACACACACACACACACACACACACACACACACACACACACACACACCCCCGGAGGCCTCTGTCCCCCTCGCCTCCCCCCGCGGAGCCGGAGCCTCTTATGCAAGCCGCCGGCGCCCGCGTTCCCAGGCCGCTGCAGCTGCGGGCGGAGGGCGGGCAGGGCGGGGGCGGCTGTTTGTCTCCGCGGCCGTGCCAAAGGCGGCGGGCCCCAGACAGCCCGGCGCCTCCGTACACCTGGGGATGCTCAGGTTAAATGGCTCCGCATTCCTCGGGCCCAGCTGATGGAAACGCTCCCAGGCCGCCGCGGAGCCGGCCTCCAGATGGGCTGGGCGCGGGCCAAAGGGGAAAAGAGGGGAACGTGGAAGCCAGCGTGTGCGGGGCGGCGGGCCGTGCTCCCGGGAGGGGCCTGCCTGCCGGGGAGGGGGCACGCGGGGCACGCCCCCGCCCCGTGGGTGGGCTTGCAGGCGGGGGGGGGGGGTGTCCCCACACGGGAGGGGAGGGAGTGGGTGCACACGTGCACCTCTGAGGACACGCCAAGGACACCGGGCGACAATTAATAACTCATAACCGGCAAACACGGCGGGCTAAGGGCCCCACTTCATTTTTCTCTCCACCGTTTTATGAAGTTAATGCCGTAAAACAGCAGCGGGGTGGGGAGTGGACGGGGCGTAGCAAAGGGCTTCATTTACCTCCAATTATTGGGTCCTTTGATAAAGTTCCCGAGGTGCTTGGGGAAGGGGTGGGACCTGGCTTTTTTAATTTGTCGATTACAGTGGATACACTATTAGTTTCAGGTGTGCAACGTGGGGATTAGACGGGGTGGTACCCGCTTTAATGTTCTCGCTCAGGAGATGACCAGCTTTTATTTATTTGTTGTTCATCCCCTCGGAGCCTGTTTCTGTTGTAAACCTGGGACCAGAACCCTGCGTTTAGCCCCCACGAGAAATGCTCTATGTAATGGGTTGAGCTTAGGGGCAGGCTCATGGTAGTAGGCGCTATTTCTTTTATCCCATTTTTATTTACGAACGCGGTGTATGAACAACGGTCTTCAGCTTCTCTGGGACAAGTGTTTTGCCCTTTTGAGGACTCGGTTTCTCCCTGTGTCACATGGGAGCTGACCTGGTAGGGTACATGGAGTTGGGTGTCCCAAGGGCCTAACAATTAATTGCCAGGGAAGTTGGCACTTGAACTGTTCAGGAAGCGTTTGCCTGAATACGGCAGCCCCCCCCCCCCCCCCCCCCCCCGCCACCCCAGACGGGCAGAGACCCAGAAATGCCAGCCAATCTATAGAACAATGACACACTTAGGAGCCCCGGGTGGTCCTGCAGCCCCTGGACACACTCATCCATCAAACCAGACCCATGCGGAGATGCCCACAATGCATTTAGGCGGAACACACGAGCCCAAACAGCTGGAGGTTGCACACTTATCTGCAGAGCACATGTGCTCACATTTGCCCTTTTTTCACACACCCCAGGCCTGTACACCAACAGAGGACCCAGCCCCACGGGGAACTACCAGTTCATGCATGTCACACACGCTTACGCACTCCCCTGTGACTACAAACTCCACACATGCGTCCAGGCCGATAGGCCCTTGCCAATGACATTTTTTTCTGCTCGGGAGCTGGGGACTGACTCACCCACTCCTCAGAGCCCACACAGGAGCCCCAGGGCAAGAGGAGGTTCCTGTGAGCTGCGGGTGAGGGGGCCGGCTCCGGACCCAGAGCAGGTGGCCCTGCAGCTGTGCCGAGGCTGGCCCTGCCAACCTACTCACCCACTTGGACAAGCCTGGAGCCCCCGGGCAGCCTGCTGGGACCGGGGTTAGGCGGCCCGCTGGGGCGGCACCTCCTGCCGGGGGATGGAGCGATGGGAGCCCTGCCTCCGACAGGCGGAGGCTCTGGGTAAGTCCCTTCCCTCTGGATCTCACTTCCTCCCTGTTGGCAAATGTGCAGGTGGGCCCAGTGACCTGATTCTCCGACTTAAATAACTTCCCAGCCCAGAGGGGGCTGGGCAGGTCGATCTGCATTATAACCACCTCCCCCGGGGACCCCCGTAGCCGGCTCAATGGCCGCTTTGAGAAACCCTAGAGTACTTAACGTGATGACAATAGGGAGCCGGGAAATGGCCAGTGATGGGGAAAAGAATACTTTAAAGACACCGGAAACACAGTTCGGGTCGGTGAAAGGGACAGTCCAGATGTGGCCTTCCAGTCCCCCACCTCCCAGCGCCAGCTGTGAGAGAAAAGGGTCAGGGGTCACCCCCACCCCCCGCCCCTCCCCTCAACCCAAGAACACTGCAATGTTACCATCATCTAAAGTATTTGTTTAATAACAGAAGAAAAAAACCAACAAAAAAACCCCACAGAACTATTGTAAAACAATATTCTCAGTCGGTGATCATTGTAATATACAATACAAAGCAATAATTTCCTCAGAAATCTGAGAAGCACCAAACGTGACCATTTTTTAAAATGTCTTGCTTTTCAAAAAATAGAAACACACGGGGGGGAAACTCCCCCAAGTCTCTGGTGGCTGGTAGGTGTGGAGAGGAGGTCGGCCCGTCGTCCTGTCAGCCCCCCATCCCCGGGCTGGGTCCACGGGAGCCCCAGCCCAAGGCCGCCGGTCTCGGCCTGTCCTGTTCCTCCCCGGGCGCTCGGGGCCGGGGCGCTCCTGCCTCTCGCCCCTGCAGGGCGGGGGTCGGCGGGTCCGGGGCACGCGCTTCAGCGGCACAGGATGCGGTCGTCCGCGGGGACACACGCCGCCTGTGAAACAAACGGAGAGAGAAGAGGTGAGACGGGCGGGCTGGGGAGGGGACCAGGCTGCCAGCCGCCCCTTCCCCGGGAGCCACGAGCCCGGAACGCTTCTTCCCATGCCCTTAGGAGCCCTTCCGCAGCCAGGACCCCAAAGGATCATAGGGTCGACGTGGGGTCCGGCCCCCCACCCCACCGCCCCCTCTCCGGGACTCAGTTTCCCCATCTGCAGCAGGAAGAAAACACGACCTCGCGTTCCCATGTGGAGCTCGCTCACCTCGGCGGCCAGGGCGCTCATCTCGCCGTTGAGGGTGCTGAGCGGGGCGCGCGCGGGCAGCCCCCGGGCGCCGGGGCTCCCGGCCTGGGACTCCGAGTTGAGTTCCAGCTCCAGGTCCCAGATGTAGTCGATGACGTGCTGCAGGATCTCCACGCGGCTCACCTTGCGGTTCTGGGGCAGCGTGGGCACCAGCTCCTTGAGGCGCGAGTAGCAGCCGTTCATGTCGTAGAGCAGCACGTTGACCGGCGGCTCGTCCAGCAGCGCGGGCAGGCGCGCGGCGGAGCCGGCGGCGCAGCGGGAGATGGCCACGCTCTGCTCCGCCAGGCAGCGCACGCCCTCGCCCGCCGCCCTGCCGGCCCGCAGCGCGCAGCTGGGGCCCGCGGCGGCCGCGGCGCTGCCACTGGCCACCTTCATGCTGCTGCCGGCGTCGGGGTGAGAGGCGCGGGGCTGGGCGCGCGGAGGGAAACTCGGGCGCGGGGAGACGGTGGTGGAAGGCACGCTCCGAGCCCCGCCGCCGGGTCCTTATAAAGGCGCCGCGTCCCCGCCCCGAGGGGCGGGCTCAGACGTTCAAAAGCAGCCAATGAGAGGCCTGGGGGCGTGGCCTCGGGCGCCCCTGGGCCCCGCCTCCCGCACTACGATTGTACCTCGGAGGGCGTAGAAAGGGGACCCCGAACCTCCAGAAGAGAGAGAGTGGGAAGGCTGGGGCAGGGTGGCCAGGGAGGCGAGGGCTACCTGGGAACCTCGGGGAGGAGGCAAGGAGGCGAAATCGATATTGCCAATAACAAAAAAGACCGAGAACCCGTTTTCTCCGGGTTCGTTTTCTCACCTCTCCAGCTCCATTTTACAGACGAGAGAAACTGAGGCCTGGGTGGAGAAGCGGCCGGCTCTGGGTCGCCCAGAGAGCCTGGGCTTCTGGATCCCATTGGAAGACGACCTCTGGGACCCTGATCTCCCGAATACTGGGTCCGAAATGAAAGCGGGTCCTCCTTCTAACACTCTGAACTGGGGCTCGCCTCTCTCCCAATTGCCAGGGAATGTTGTTGATGTCCTGGGGCCAGGGGGACTTACCCAGGCCCCTCGGGGTGGGAGCACTTAATTTGGGAAAGTCTTCCCCTAGGACTGGGGGCTGGGGCCTCTGGGACCTGAACGAGATAGATGGCGGCTCCCAGAGTGGGCACGCTGAGCCTCCTGATTCTACTCGGAATTTGCAACCCGCTGCAAAAACTCCCCACATCTGCATCAAGGAATGATTTTAAAAATTTTCTCCTTTTTTCGGATGTTTCCCCCCCCAAAAAAAAAAAAAAAAGAAAAGAAAAGATTTCAGATCAGGTTCTCCCACAGCGCGGCAGCTGCAAGCTGAGTCCCCCTCTCCTCCCGCCCTCCCCCCGCCGGGCTTCCCGGGCTGGTCTGTGTCAGCGTCTGAACAAGAGGCTCAGACCGTTAGACGCCAGGCCCGTGACGTCACCCATTCATAAAACCTGGACGGGCTGTCAGGCTGGCGCCGCGCGGGCGGTCGCCATGGAGACGGCAAACCCGGCTCCCCGCGCTGCTCGGGGCCCCGCCAGTCACCTGCGGACCTCCGGCGGGAGGCCTGGGAATGCGCTCCGCACGGGCGCGGTCGCCGGGCAAGGGTCACCTTACCTCCCCGCCCCACACCTGGACTCTCCCCACCAGGCCCGCAGCTTGGGCCGCTTGGGAGGTTTCTTCGCCGCCTCCCCCTTCCCCCCCTCCCTCCCAATCTCCAGTTCCCTTTGCTGCCTGAGTTCCGTTTCCAACTCTGCCGCTGTTGCTGCTGCTGCTGCTGCTGCTGCTGCTGGGTGAATTTAGTTGAGTCTCCAGCCCTCTGAGCCATACTATCTGCCTGATTTGAGGATAATCACACGGGTGACGATTTATGGCGTTCTTACTTCCTGCCAGGCAGGCACTGTGTGAGGAGTTTGCCTTTATCATCTTCTGTAATCCTTGCTACGCCTCCACAGAGAGGAGCTGTTTGGTTTCTTTATACACAGGAGGAAACTGAGGCTCAAAAAGCCTCCCAGGCCCAAACCGGTTTGGTTCAATGGTTAGAGCGTCGGCCTGCGGACTGAAGGGTCCCAGGTTCGATTCTGGTCAAGGTTCGATACCTTGGTTGCGGGCACATCCCCGGTAGGGGGTGTGCAAGAGGCAGCTGGTTGATGTTTCTCTCTCATCGATGTTTCTAGCTCTCTCCCTCCATTCCTCTTGGTAAAAAAATCAATAACATATATTAAATAAATAAATTTTAAAAAAGCCTCCCAGGAGCCACACTGCTGTAATGGCTGTGTGATTATTAACAAGGACACTTCATTGTAATGCGGTCCCTTCCAATCTGCATCCAGAGCCCTAGCTAGGCCAGAGCTGTGGAAACCGCATCCCCGAAGCCAGACAGCGTGAGGAGGGCTGAAATTCATCACTCACACAGGAGAGGGTGATATTACCCACCCCACCTCCCGGAACAATTCACTCCTGGGTGTCGGCAGGTTTCCTTTTTCTACAGAGGTTTGGAGAAGGCGGACAGTAAACCAGCCGGCAGTCCTCCACATGAGGAAACCAGGAAAACGGATCAGGGAGACCGTCTTCAAAGGCGAGACGTCATCAGTTAATTATTAGCTGGACTCCCCATCCTCTTATGACACCCGCAAGTTCTCCAAGCTCCCTCGGCTTGTTTTGCAATCCTCTAATGATTGGAGAGAACATTTCGCTGTGCAGAAGAATTGCTAAAGAATTGCAAGGACAATGACCAACGCGAGAGGAAATTAGAATATTAATTCATTATTGAGTGGTTATTAATTGATCTAGCAATTCTTTTTGCTGGTATCCATCACACACACACACACACACACACACACACACACACACACACGAGCACGAAGATGTCTGCTCAGCCCTGGTTGGTGTGGCTTAGTTGGCGGGGCATCATCAGTGCACCAGGAGGTTGCCAGTTGGATTCCCGGTCAAGGGCATGTGCGGGGGTTGTGGACTCGATCTCTGAGAGGGTGAGCACTGGAGGCAGCTGATCGATGTTGCACTCTCACATCCATGCTTTTCTCTCCCTCTCAGGGCCTCTCTCTCTCAAAACCAATAGACTATTGTTTTTTAAAAAGAATGAGGCATTCCTTTTTAAAAAAATGTCTTCCCAAAGATGTTGGTTGAGGTGCTTTTTATAAGGGGGGAGTTAAAATAACCTAACTATCCAGCGACAGCGGTATTATAAGAGGATGGATGGAACCTCAGTGCCCTGGACGGGCCCTGCAGCAGGGGAAGTTTGGTTCTGAGAGATAACTAGATGTTGTTGGTAGAGGAAGCAAGAGTGAGACAGAGGGGGGGTTAAGGTAGGACCTCTTGTGAAAAAGCAAACATACTGCGCCCCAGTATATGTGTATCTGGAAATGAATTTAACATGAGAGGAAATTATGCTGTGGAAAGTTTCAAACACAATACCGTGTGCTTTCTCTCAGATGAAGTTCTAAGATTCACAACTAAAGTTCCATGAAAGAAATCAGATGGGGTTGCCTCTGGGAGTGGAGGGTGGGAGTTGCCAGGCAGGGGGAGGGAGGGAACTTTCTGGAGTGATGGAGATGTTCCCTGTCATGGTGTGGTGTGCATTACACAGTGTAAGAATTAGTCAAAACACATTGAATTATATGGTTTTGTGCATTTCACTGTATTTTAATAGCACATCAATAAAAAATATTAGAAAGGAGAAAAAAAAGGATAAATACCAAATTACTAATGTTACCACTGTGAAGAGGAGTGAGGGAAAGGAGAACAATGTGAAATTAGGATTTCACTTTTATCTTCTTATAGGTATATGATTTTTTTTTTTCTTAAGCAATCTTATTGAAGTACTAGAGGCCCAGTGCATGAAATTTGTGCATGGAATGGGGAAAAGTGCCCTCAGCCCAGCCTGCACCCTCTCACAATCCGGAACCACCCTGTGAAATTGGGCCTAAATCAGCGGTCGGACATCCCTCTCACAATCTGGGATGGCTGGCTCCTAACCACTCACCTGCCTTCCTGCCTGATCGCCCATAACCACTCTGCTTGCTTGTCTGATCACTCCTAACTGCTTGCCTGCCTGCCTGATTGCCCCTAGTCACTCTGCCTGCTTGCCTGATTACCCCTAACCACTGTCTGCCTGCCTGATCATCCCTAACTGCTCACCTGTCTGCCTGACTGCCCCTAACTGCTCACCTGCCTGCCTGATCGGCTCTAACCACTCTGCCTGCCTGCCTGATTGCCCCTAACCACCTCTGCTTTGGCCCCCACCAGGGCAGCTTCATTGGGGAGGACATCCGGAATGACGTCTGAAAGGTCATTAGGCTATCTGGTCTAATTAGCATATTACTCTTTTATTATTATAGACAACTGATATAGACAAAGTGTATATATTTGAAGTGTATGACTTCATAAGTTTCTCTCTCTCTCTTACTCATGAACCATTGCTACAATCAGGACAATTAACATATACTTAATCAACCCTAGAAGTTTTCTTTTGCCCTTCGTAATCCCTCCCCACTCATCCACTCAGTGTCCAGGTAACTGGATATCTGTTTTATTCTGTAGTTTGCATGTTCTAGAATTTTATATAAATGAAGTACAGTATATATAAAGTATATACATGTGTAATGTATACACAGTGCATACTCTTTATTTTATCTTTCTCAGCCTACTTTATTTTCCTTAACTCAGCATAATTATTTTGAGATTCATTCATGTTCATTCATTTTTATTGCTTAGTAGTAGTGTATGGATATACCACAATTTGCTTACTCAGTTACTTTGATAGACATCTAGGTTGTTTATAGTTTTTGGTTAGTACAAATAAAGCTGCTTTGAACAATTGTATACACGTGTTTATATGAATCTGTGCTTTCATTTCTCTTAGGCAAACAGTAGTGGAATGATTGGGTCACATAGTAGGTATTTATTTAATTTAATAAGAAACTATCCAAATGTTTCCCCAGGAGGGTGTGTCAGCAGTGTGGAGAGCCTAGGTCCTCCACGCCCTCTCTAATGGTTGATGGGGTCAGTCTTTTTCAGCAGTTGTAATAGATGTGTGCAGTATCTCGCTGTGGTTTTAATTTGTATTTTTTTTCTTTTTCTTTTTTCCAGTTTTCTAATTTTTTAATTATATACCAAATTACTTTTTTTTTTTTTTTATTGGCTTCCAAAGGGGAGTTTAAGGTCAAAAGGAGTTTCAGGTGTGCCCAGATCCTATTCATCAAAATCTGGGTTAATTTGTATTTTTAAAAATTTTCATTTTTATTGACTTTTAGAGAGAGAGGAAGGGAGAGGGAGACAGTGAAATATTGATTGGTTGCCTCCTACACACCCCCTTCTGGGGACTGAGCCTGCAACCCCAGCATGAGCCCTGGCTGGGAACTGATTTGGCAGCCTTTCAGCGAATGGGGGAAGCCCAGCCAATTGGGCCACACTGGCCCGGGCTTTAATTTGTCTTTTCTGAATGACTAAACATGTTGACCATCTTTGTATGTGCTTATATGTCATCCGTATATCTTCTCTGGCAAAGTGTCATTCATTCTTTGCTCATTAAAAAAATTAGTTTTAGGTAAATTGTAGGTTCACATGAAGTCATAAGAAATAACAGAGAAACCCCTATACTCTTTACCCAGTTTCCCTAATAGAAGCATCTTGCATAAATATAGTGCAATGTTACAAGAAGATTTCACCTGAAATTCAGATTTCACCTGGTTGCCTTGCATCCGTTGTGTGTGTTTCGTTCTATGCGGTTTTATCACGTGTAGGTTCCTGTGAGCACCACCGGAGTAAAGACACAGAACAGCTCCAGCACACAGATCCTTTGAGCGACCCTTTAATCTTTTTATTTATTTATATATTTAATATATTTTATTGATCGTTTTTAAAGAGAGGAAGGGAGAGGGATAGAGTTAGAAACATCGATCAGCCGCCTCCTGCACACCTCCTACTGGGATGTGCCCACAACCAAGGTACGAGCCCTTGACCGGAATCGAACCCGGGACCCTTCAGTCCGCAGGCTGACGCTCTATCCATGGAGCCAAACTGGTTTTGGCAACCCTTTAATCTTTTGTCCATTTCTTTTCACTTGGTTGTTTGTTTTTTTATTATTGAGTTTTGAGAGTTCTTTATGTTTTGAATACAAATTCTTTACCAGGTACACGAGATACAAATATCATCGTTTAATCTTCTTACTGGCGTCCTTCGAGGAGCAAGTTTTAAATTTTGATGAAGTCCAATTTATCAGTTTTTAATATTTTGAATCGTGCTTTTCTTATCATATCTAAGAAATCTCTACCTAATCGAAGATCACAAAGATTTTCTTCTATATTTTCCAGAAGTTTTATATTGATAGCTTAGGGTTTTTAAAGTTTTAGGTCTCTGATCCAATATACATAGGTATTTCTTGAATACATTTTTTTAAAACAGAAGTGTATTTGTGAAATATTTTGTGTAACGAAAGTCAACCTTATTATTTATTTATTTAAAAATAGATCTTTATTGCTCAGATTATTACACTTGTTTCTCCTCCCCCACCCCCCCATAGCTCCCTTCCACCAGGTTCCTGCCACACCCTCTGCCCTTATCTCTCCCACTCCCTTGCCATTGTCCTCATCCATAGGTTATACGATTTTAATCCAGTCTCTTTCTGCATCCCCACACCCCTTTCCCCCTGATAATTATCAATCCACTCCCTTCCTTTGCCCCTGATTCTATTATATTCACCAGTTTATTCTGGTCTTCAGATTTTTTTTTTAGTTTTTTTTTGTTTTGTTTTGTTGTTGTTGCCAATGCAAAAACTAAACCACATACATGTTATTTTCAAAACTTGAATGTCAAGAGCAAAACTCTGGCTTTTAAATAATAACAACAATGCCAATGCAAACAACAAAATGAGAAATCAGAATTATGGACATATTAATATTTTTAGCTACTAAATGAGTCTCTTTTGTTGCTGGTCTAGATTTACTCAGAGTCCTTGGACTTGCTGCACAAGACTTTGCAGAAGACTGGAAGCTAACAGATGCTAGCATGAGCAGGAACATGATTAAAGAAGTAGCTTCCACATCAGTCTTTAATTTCTTCAGATGACTCCATGTTGGCACCTCAGTCCCTTGCATATAACCTTCAGTTTTCTTCTCCCACTTTGCTATCGTCTGGGCAACTCTCATTTCTTTTGGGTGAAGGGACACAGGAGCTTCTCTGAGTCCATTGTGATGACGGACATAACACTCTGGCACCCGAATTGCTGCATTGCTCCTTCTTTCCTTTCATTTTGAACCCAGGATTCGACCCCACAACACTCCGGGCCTGGCTGCTCCGGGCCTGGCTGCTGCTGCTCTGGGCCTGGCTGCTCCTGCTCTGGGCCTGGCTGCTCCTGCTCTGGGCCTGGCTGCTGCTGCTCTGGGCCTGGCTGCTCCTGCTCTGGGCCTGGCTGCTGCTGCTCTGGGCCTGGCTGCTCCTGCTCTGGGCCTGGCTGCTTCGGGCTTGGCTGCTGCTGCTTTGGGCCTGGCTGCTGCTGCTCTGGGCCTGGCTGCTCCTGCTCTGGGCCTGGCTGCTCCTGCTCTGGGCCTGGCTGCTGCTGCTCTGGGCCTGGCTGCTCCTGCTCTGGGCCTGGCTGCTGCTGCTCTGGGCCTGGCTGCTCCTGCTCTGGGCCTGGCTGCTTCGGGCTTGGCTGCTGCTGCTCTGGGCCTGGCTGATCCAGGCCTGGATGCTGCTGCACCGGGCTTGGCTGCTGCTGCTCCGGGCCTGCCATTCTTCCATTTCTCCAGCTGGTCACATTTTAAGAGCCCATTGCTCTTATTATCATGTTAATTGTTGACTATTAACTACCCACTACCTCCTTCCTGTGGTTTTGGATGATAGATGTCCTTCATATTAGTTTTAATTTTTAACTTGTTGTGGGAGCGGCAGACCAGTTGCTCACCTACACCGCCATCTTGATTTCTCCTCCAATCGGTACTCATGAAAGCCAACTTTAAATGTTTAGTATATCCCATTCTGGCCTGACTGATGGTTGGGATGAGGTGGAATGTCAAAGACACTTTGCACACAAGCAGGAGGGAGGGTCAAGGAACAATTAGGACCCCCCCCTCCCCAAATAACATTTGTGTGCATCCACCTCCTGCCACGTCCTGTGCGAACTACGTCAAGACTATATTATGGCTTGGCCAGTGTGGCTCAATGGTTGAGCATCGACTTTTGAACCAGAAGGTCCCGATTCAACTCCAGGTCCGGGCACATGCCTGGGTTGCAGGTTTGATCCCCAGTAGGGAGAGTGCAGGAGGCAGCCAATCAATGATTCTCTCTCATCATTGGTGTTTCTCTCTCTCTCTCTCTCTCTCTCTCTCTCTCTCTCTCATCATCAGTGAGAAAATATCAAGATGGTGAGAATTAACAACAACAACAAATAAAAATAAATAAAATGCCTTATTAAAAAGAATGATTCATTGACATTAGGGTCCCAAAGATCCTGGGATGGTCTTGCACGTAGTAGGTGCTCACTGAGCAGTCGGTAGGAATAGTGTCTGTTCAGTTTCAGGCCAGGCCCCCAGAACCGAATGTGGTTTGCAGTTTTACTTCTGGGTTTTTTTTTTTAGCGAGCCATGTGAGATGAGCTTTCAGAGCCCATGAAATTTTCCCTTCATGGTGTTCCCCTCAAACTTTTCCAAGTGAAATAACGACACCCCCATACACATACCCATCCTAGGTCTGTGGGGGAAAAATGGCTTCATTTCATTCCGGAAAATGTTCAGTACTTCCAGGCATGATTTTTATCTCTTACATTTTTAAGGCCTGACAAAGAATTTAAACAAAGACTGTCTATTTATCTTGTTGCCAAATAGGCATTTTTCTGGCCTTCTCTTGGGTAGTGTGAATTGAGTGAGCATTTGCATCCCAGTCCTCTCCCCCCTCTTTTGGTGGCCAGGAAGTTTAGAGGTCTCTTTATTTTTATTTTATTTTTATTTTTAAAGAATATATTTTATTAATTTTTTTAGAGAGGAAGAGAGAGGGATAGAGAGTTAGAAACACTGATGAGAGAGAAATATCAATCAGCTGCCTCCTGCACACTCCCCACTGGGGATGTGCCCGCAACCAAGGTACATGCCCTTGCCTGGAATTGAACCTGGGACCCTTCAGTCCGCAGGCCGACACTCTACAGCCCAAACCGGTCAGGGCTATTTTTAATTTTTAAAATATACTTTTATTGTTTTCAGAGAGAAAGGGAGAGGGAGAGAGAGATAGAAACATCAATGATGAGAATCATTGGTCAGCTGCCTCCTGCACGCCCCCTCCTGGGGATCAAGCCCGCAACCCTGGTATGTGCCCTTGGCCAGAATGAAATGCTGATGCTCTATCCCACATGTGTCAAACACAAGGCCCGCGGGCCAAATCCGTCCCGCCAGGCCTTGCAATGTGGCCCGCACTGCGCTGTCATCACTGCACTCCGCTGCGTTTCCATCACAATGACAGTTTATGACTGTTCAGTAAACCATTCGGCCCGCGATTTAGGCTGGATTTTAGATTTTTGCCCCTTCTCTGATTGAGTTCGACACCCCTACTCTATCCACTGAGCCAAACCGGCTAGGGCGGGAGGACTTTTTAAATGGCCCTAAACCAGAATTCAAGCTGGTAGTCTCTTGGGAGGCCCTGTACACACACACACACACACACACACACACACACCCGGCACCACCTGATCTCCACAGCTGCTCCCTGACGCTGGCAGCAGCTGTGTTAGTATATAACCCACCATTTCACAGATGGCACATGGGGGCCCAGAGAGAAAAAAGGACCAGCCCTTGCCACCTTCAAATCCTGGCTCTGTCATCGACAAGCTGTACCTCAGTTTCCTCATCTGTAAACTGGAGTTAATGATCATTGTTCTCTGTAGGCCAGTTATGAGGTCAAATAAGCTGTGCCAGGAGGTGACGGCAGCCCCTGGTGATGAACGGACGTGTCTTCTCACGATGTCTCTGTCACCACGTCACCCTGTCAGCCTTTACCAGTCAGACCTCTCCTCGGACCTCCGGGACTCCGGGCAAAGGCTCCCTATCAGGCAGCGCTCCCAGTATTCACCCGCGACTGGCAGCAGCAGGTATGTTCCTTTTCCAGCGGAGGCCGCTGAGGCCCAGAGAGGTTGAGTGACTTGCTTCAGATCACACAGCTGGGATGTGGCCTTGAACCCAGGCCGTCTGTCTCCTGAGGCAGCGGCTGTGCGGGGCCCAAGGCTTGTGTGCATGTGTGTCCACACCGCGGAGTACATCCTTGTGGATGCGTGTTCATGTCCAGCACGTTCCCCGCTGCCCCTCCCGGGAGGGAGCCTTGGCCTCGCAGGCTGCAGGGCGGGCCTGCCCTGTGCCACGTGACCCGTTCTGGCTGCGCTGGCCCTGGCCCGGCAGCTGCTCCCCAGATGTGCCCACAGCGCGGTCTTCCAGCCGCCAGGCCGGCGCCTCTGGGCTGGGACTGCCGGAGCTGCGGGGGAGAGACCTTTGGCTCTGGCTGTTCCCCCCCCCCCCCCTTCTCCCTGTAACAGGAGACCACAAGCGCCCCCTCCACACGCTAGCCCAGAAGCCTGCGCTCAGCCAACACCGCCTCTCTGCCCCTCGCGCTGAGAAGAACAGCCAAAGCCTGCAGCCTCTGTCCACTCAGCCAGCCACATCTGCCCCGCCTCTCTCACCAGCCGCGGGGCCTCCCGCCCTAAACCAGCGGGGTCCTGCCTCAGGGCCTTTGCCTCTGCTGTTCCCTCTGCAGGCTCCTCCCCGAGCTGCACAAGGCTTCCCATTCTTCAAGTCCCAGGTCAAATGTCACCTCCTCAGAGGTCTCCTCAGAGCCTCCTCTGGCTATTTATTCACTTTCTTTCACATTCCCCTGCTCTTCATTATTTATAGAATTTATTACCATCTGAAAAGATCTTTGTTTCCTTGGAGAGTGTCCAGTCCTCCTCCATCCCCATGCCGGTCCCAGGCTCCGGGAGGGCAGGCGCCACGGCTCCTTTGGCCACTGCTGTGTCCCTAGAGCTGAGCACAGGGCCTGGCCCTGAGAGGGCGAAGGGCTTGCTCACGCACTCGGAAGAGGCAGCAGAAGAGATGGTTTTGTGCCCTTCTGGGGCCTCATTTTCTACCCCCCAGCCCAGCAGAAAGCTGTGTATGAGGGACGTGGGGGCTTCAAACCCTCTGTCCTTAACAAGCGGTGCGACCTCTGCCAAGTCTCTTATCCATTCTGGACCTCAGTTTTTCCATCTGTAAAATGGGGATGGTCACTGGCCCTCCATCTTAAGGGTGTTTTGATGGGCTCTTGCATCATTTCAGGGAGTGTAGGGGGGTCCAGGCGTGGATCCATCTTTTGCCTCTCATCCTGTTTCCCAAAGAAGGCCCAGAACAATGGACAGGGAGGCTGGAGCTGCAGAGAGGGTGTGGGGTCTTCCTGTGGCCTCAGTAAGGACCACTGCTGCCCTGGGCCTCAGGGGCCAAAGGGAAAGGCAGAGCCAGGGCCCAGGGGCTTCCTTCTTAGGTCACTCAGCATAGGACACACACACACACACACAACCAACACAGGATATACATGTCAACTGACAACTGATGCATCTGCCAGCAACTTTAACACCCACACCCAGCAAAGCAGCTGTCCAAATGCACAGCACAGCAATACACCGTGACATACAACTCACACTGGCATGCAGCTACACAACCCAGACCCAAACATGCACAACCCACCCAACAACCAAAATGCAGACACCAAGGAGGCAGCACATCAAAACACCTATTTGTCTCTCCTAACAGAACCACACACTAAACACACTAAAGCTACAACAATAAACACAACACATAGACACACACACCCTGCACTGCAGTACACATTTACTGAACATAACACTTACACCCATATCAGTGCTGCTCACACAAACATGAGATACGCGTGCCCACATCCTTAGAGAAAACAACCAAATACAAACCAGCTTTCCCTATGCAACCAACACCCACCTGCACCAGCTCTAAGACTGCCTCCTACCACCTCTCAAAGTCTTTTTTAAAATTTTATATAAATATATTTTATTGATTTTTTACAGAAAGGAAGAGAGAGGGATAGAGAGTCAGAAACATCAACCAGCTGCCTCTTGCGCACCCACTACTGGGGATGTGCCTGCAACCAAGATACATGCCCCCAACCAGAATCGAACCTGAGACCTTTCAGTCCGCAGGCTGACGCTCTATCCACTGAGCCAAACCGGTTTCGGCTCAAAGTCTTTCTATATAGAGAAACCACTCCCAACACACACACACAACTCAGAATCCTGTATAAGCCCCAAGGACTCACAACTACTCAGCCACACCCATCCAGGCCCAAGGAGCTCCTGCTCAGAAATGCAGGCCTGCGCCCTGTCCAGGCCGGAGGTACAGGAGTTGGTCTGACTCTGGCCGCCCCAGAGGCTGTTGCCACCAGCGGGGAAATCCCAAATCAGGGTGCTCTTCAGGGCCCAACAGAGAGCACCCCCAAGCTGCAAGGTCCTTGACGGGGAAGGAGGAAGACTAGGCAAGAGGCCTCCTGAGGGGGTTTCCATGGTTCCCTCACATGCCCACAGAGATGGACAGCAGGGCCCCGAGGCCCCGCCCCTGCCTCCCGCCTGGTGCCCCATCCGGCCCTCCCTGACTCACCTTCCTCCCTCACACCTGGCTCCCCCTTCTGCCCTGGGGCCCGGAAAGGGGAAGCAGCTGAGGGTGCATCTCGCAGGGCCTGCCCAGCTCCCTGCCCAGGAGCGTGGAGCAGTCCCACCCTCTTTGCTCACCCAGCCCTAAGTACCCTGTCACCGGGGGTGGCACCTCCAGCTGCACCCTGGCCTCAGGTCACAGGTGTGGCTGCACTCCTCCAATACTATGACTCATGACACGCTCCTAAGTCTTTTAAAGAGTCTGACATTTTTTGCTGATGCAAACGCAGGGCTGATCTAGTGAGAGGAAGCTGACAACTGAGAAACACTCAGGGAAGAGCGGGAGAGCGAGGTTTCTCAGGGAGCCAACGAGCCCCGGGTTCTCGTCCGCCCCCCCCCCCCCCCCCCCCTCCGCTCCGGAGCCGTGTGCGTGTACGTCACTGCGTGTCCCCGTGTCTCCGTTTCCCCACCCGTGAAAGTGGGGGAACGGTGTGAGTTCCCATCTCTGTGAGGACGAAGAGCTACATCACGTAAAGAGCTTAGGACAGTGCCCAGCGAAGTCAGCATTCGATAGAGACCTCCAGCAATGACTGTTCTGATGGGGACCCGCCCTGCCGCCTCTCTTAGAGGTAACCCCTGGTAAATAACCGGATGCATGCTCCACCACTGAATTACACAACTCCAGAACCATTAAAGGCCAGCTATTCACCCCGTAAACGAGTGCGCCCCCACTTTGTACTAGGCACAGCGGTGACGGAACAAGAGGCGAGGCAGCCAGAGGAAGTAACCCACTGGGAACAGACAAACACCACTGGCCAGGGGATCAGTCCCTGGACACTCACTGCAGCCTGTGGGTTGTGGTCATCCCAGGGGGCGCTTTTTATTTATTTTTTAAAATATATTTTATTGATTTTTTACAGAGAGGGAGATGGATAGAGAGCTAAAAACATCGATGAGATAGAAACATCCATCAGCTGCCTCCTGCACACCGCCTACCGGGGATGTGCCCGCAACCAAGGTACATGCCCCTGACCGGAGTCAAACCCGGGACCTTTCAGTCCGCAGGCCGACGCTCTACCCACTGAGACAAACTGGTTTCAGCCAAGGGGGCACGTTTTTAGGAACGGGAGAGAGAAGCCCCTCGCTCTGAGTGGATGCAATGCGCCTCCCAGGAACATGTTCCCCTGAGCGTGCCCCGTGGCCCTGCCAACAAGGCCGCCGCCCAAGGAGTTCCCGGCCACTGGGAAAGGCCATGACGCCAGGCCCCAGCGCTGTGGCCAGAAGCACGGACATTGTGAGAGGCAGGGAGGCCAGAGAGACCCCGTCTTCTGAGGAAGGGCCAGGAGGCCTTCCTGCAGGAGGAGGCGCTCCCAGCTGAGATGAAGCAGCAGTGAGGGAGGGTGAGGCCCAGCACTGCACGTCTGGATGCGGGAAGGACACAACGGCCACGTCCAGCTAAAAGAACTTCAAAGCCTGCGAAGCTACAATGCGGTGGGGCTGTGGGAAAGTCTGCCGCTGGTGAGTGTGCACACCGGCAGATCGCCTGGGAGCTGCTCCGTGCAGCCTCACAGGGGAAAAGGGAGCGCTGGGACAGCCGAGGGCCCCGCCGTCCGCTCCCATGGAGACCCTGAAGTTCTGCAGCAAGAGCACCTCGCTGTGTAGCAACCACTGGAAACCACTCAGGTGCAGACAGCGGGACAGGGAATAAAACGGCAGGAGGTGCTGAAACCGGTGTGGCTCAGTGGATGGAGCGTCGGCCTGCGGAATGAAAGGTCCCAGGTTCCATTCTGGTCAAGGACATGTACCTTAGTTGCACATCCACTGGGGATATGCAGGAGGGAGCTGATTGATGATTCTCATCGATGTTTCTAACTCTCTACCCTTCGCCCTTCCTCTCAGTAAAAAATCAATAAAACATATTAAACAACAACAACAACAGCAACAACAACAACGGCAGGAGGTACAGGCCTTGCAGGAATGAGCTAGATCTGGGCACATGCAAGAACAGGGAACACAGAATCGTTTTTAAAAATATATATTTTATTGATTTTTTACAGAGAGGAAGGGGAAAAAATAGAGAGCTAGGAACATCGATGAGAGAGAAACATCGACCAGCTGCCTCTTGCACACCCCCTACCGGGATGTGCCCGCAACCAATATACATGCCCTTGACCGGAATCGAACCCGGGACCTTTCAGTCCACAGGCCGACGCTCTACCGCTGAGCCAAACTGGTTTCCGCCAGAATCATTTTTAAAGTGCAAATTTGAAAACACACAAACGATGCTAACACATGTATGTTTAGTGACTCTGTCAGAAAGCACGGGCTGGAAGGACAGGCCCGGTGGGGTGCATGAGTAGCAGACAGTCTGGGAGGGGAGGCAGGGCCGGGGCACAGAGGTCAGCCTCATGGGGACTCCTCTTCCTGGAGGGAAGCTGGGAGAGGAGCAACCACAGCGAACCCCCAGGGTGGTTAGGTCTGGGTGGTGTGACTGTGGGATTAGGAACACAAAACACTGTGTTTCAAAACCATTTTAAGGTTTCAAAATAAAAAATCAGGTTAGCAATGAGAAAAGGGCATTTCCAGGCGAAGGCCCAGCGAACTGAAAGGTCTGCGGGCCAGAGACCGGGAGGTGGGCGGGAGGGCGTGGGGGTGGGGCCTGGGGAAGAGCGGAGTTGTGTGTGTGTGTGTGTGTGTGGGTGTGGGTGTTGGGGTGGGGGTGTGTATGGTGTGTGTGTGGGTGTGGGTGTGTGTGGGGGTGGGGGTGGGGATGTGTATGGGGTGTGTATGGTGTGTGTGTGTGTGTGTGTGTGTGGGTGTGTGTGGGGGTGGGGGTGGGGATGTGTATGGGGTGTGTATGGCGTGTGTGAGGGGGTGTGTGGGGATGTGTATGGTGTGTGTGTGTGTGTGTGTGGGTGTGTGTGGATGTGTTTGGGGTGTGTGAGGGGGTGGGGGTGTGTGTGTTGGGGTGGGGGTGTGTGTGGGGTGTGTGTGGGGATGTGTATGGTGTGTGTGTGTGTGTGTGTGTGTGTGTGTGGGTGTGGGTGTGTGTGGGTGTGTGTGGATGTGTATGGTGTGTGTGTGTGTGTGTGTGTGTGGGTGTGTGTGGGGGTGGGGGTGGGGATGTGTATGGGGTGTGTGTGTGTGTGTGTGGGTGTGGGTGTGTGTGTGGGTGTGTGTGTGTGGGTGTGTGTGGATGTGTATGGGGTGTGTGAGGGGGTGTGTGGGGATGTGTATGGGGTGTGTGTGGGGGTGGGGGTGTGTGTGTTGGGGTGGGGGTGTGTGTGGGGTGTGTGGGGGGGTGGGGGTGTGTGTGTTGGGGTGGGGGTGTGTGTGGGGTGTGTGTGGGGATGTGTATGGGGTGTGTGTGGGCGGGTGGGGGTGGGTGGGGGGATAGCCTGGGCAGCCCAGGTCCTGTCCGTGGGCCCAGCGGGTGGGGAGAGGCCCCGCACCCCGGCTTTGTTGGGCGCGCCCCTCTGAAAGGCCTTCCTGGGCGGTGTCGCCCTCGGGGCCGCCGGCGGGACCCGCTGCGGACAGATGGGCGGCCGGTTCCCGCGCCCGACCCGTGGGAACGAGCCGGCGGGCGGCCCGGAGCCGCCGGAGCGCGCAGATGGGCGGAGGCCGCGGGCGGCAGATGGGTGCGAGGCGGCCGGCGGCACAAAGGCCGGGGCAGATGTTCCGGCCAGATGTTCGCGGGGCGGGGGCCTGGGAACCGCCGGCCGCCTCCCACGGCCGCTGGGGGCGCCGCGGAGGGGACACGGACGACGGGCGGCGGGGCCCAACAGGGTGTAGCTGGAGGGAGCATCCTGCCCTGTGCCGTTCAATCTCCCACACCTCAGCCCGCCCCCCCATTCCTGCTGGGGTACCAGAAAGACAGCTAGGACCCCAGAGCCTCCTCCCCTGTGAGCACCCCCTGTCTCCCCCTCCCCCCGGTGAGCACCCCTCTCTCCCCCTCCTCCCCTGTGAACACCCCTCTCTCCCCCTCCTACCCCGTGAGCACCCCCTCTCTCCCCCTCCCCCCTGTGAGCACCCCCTGTCTCCCCCTCCCCCCTGTGAGCACCCCCTGTCTCCCCCTCCCCCCTGTGAGCACCCCCTGTCTCCCCCTCCTCCCCTGTGAGCACCCCGTCTCCCCCTCCCCTCTGTGAGCACCCCCTGCCTCCCCCTCCTCCCCTGTGAGCACCCCCTGTCTCCCCCTCCCCCCTGTGAGCATCCCCTGTCTCCCCCTCCCCCCTGTGAGCACCCCCTGCCCCCTCCCTCCTGTGAGCACCCCCTGTCTCCCCCTCCCCCCTGTGAGCACCCCCTGTCTCCCCCTCCTCCGCTGTAAGCACCCCCCTCCTCCCCCTGTGAGCACCCCCTGTCTCCACCTCCTCCCCCTGTGAGCACCCCCTGTCTCCCCCTCCCCCCTGTGAGCACCCCCTGTCTCCCCCTCCTCCCCCTGTGAGCACCCCCTGTCTCCCCCTCCCCCCTGTGAGCACCCCTCTCTCCCCCTCCTCCCCCTGTGAGCACCCCCTGTCTCCCCCTCCCCCCTGTGAGCACCCCCTATCTCCCCCTCCCCCCTGTGAGCACCCCTTGTCTCCCCCTCCTCCCCCCTGTGAGCACCCCCTGTCTCCCCCTCCTCCGCTGTAAGCACCCCCCTCCTCCCCTGTGAGCACCCCCTGCCCCCTCCTCCTCCTCAGACATCAGTGGGGAGCCCTAGGCATGCGGGTGTCACACCCCGGGCTGCATCCCACCGCCCCCTCCTGCGGCATCACAGGGGGCAATGATGCTGGCTGACGCGGTTAGGCACTCGGGGGCTCTAAGTCCTCCTCGGTTCACGGCCGCCCTGTGCGGAGGTGGAAGGTGCTCCCCTGTCACCTCCCTCCTAGGAGCACGGAGCACGGAGGCCCGGGCGCCTCCTGGGGCGCAGCGGGGTGCGGAGAGCCAGGTGCGGAGGCCAGGACCGCCAGGCCCCGGGCCATGTCCCTCCCTGCAGCCCTGTCTGCGGAGGGCTTCGGGCGCCTCCTCCCTCCAACGTCCTCCTTCTGCAGTCAGCAGTCCGCTCTCCGGTGTAAACCCCGAGGGCAAACAGGAGTCAGGAAAGGAGGGGAAGGGAAGGGTAGCGTGGGGTGGATTGTAATCTCTCTATTTTTTAAAATACATTTTTATCGATTTCAGAGAGGATCATTGATCGGCTGGCTCCTGCGCGCCTGGGGACGGAGCCACCGCCCAGGCCCGTGCCCTGACGGGCAGTCACACCCCACCTCCCGCGCAGAGGCCCCGGGCCGCCCCTGCCGGCGGCCTGTGCTGGGATCTCGTGGGTTGAGGGCCGGTCAGCAGAGGCCTCTCTGGGAAGGTGAGG